AGGCATTCAGAAGAGTTTTTTTTTCTACCAAAGAGTAGAGGGAACAAGATGTGGTTAACTCCCCCAGCAGCAGCGGGCACCAGCCTCCAGGCTCAAAGTGGGCAGCAGCGGGCACCAGCCTTTAGGCTCAAAGTGAGCAGCAGCGGGCAGCAGACTCCGGTCTCAAAGTATGCAGCAGCGGGCATCAATCTCCAGCTTCAAAGTGGATATGAGTGGGCACCAGCCTCAAAGTGGGCACGAGCCTCCAACCTCAAAGTGGGCAGCAGCGGGCACCAGCCTCCTCCCTCAAAATCGGCAGCAGCGGGCACCAGCCACCAGCCCCAAAGTGGGTGGCAGCGTGCACCAGCCTCACTGTGAGCAGCAGCGGGCACCAGCCTCCAGACTCAAAGTGGGCAGCAGCAGCCACCAGCCTCCAGCCTCAAAGTGGGCACAATTGGGCACCAGCCTCCAGCCTCAAAGTTTGCACCAGCCTCCTGCCTCAAAGTGGGCCGCAGGGGGCACCAGTCTCAAATTGGGCAGCAGCGGGCACCAGCCTCCAGATTCAAAGTGGGCAGCAGCGGGCACCAGCCTTCAGCCTCAAAGTGGGCACCAGCCTCCTGCTTCAAAGTGGGCAGCAGCGGGCACCAGCCTCAAAGTGGGTAGCAGATGGCACCAGCCTCCAGTCTCAAAGTAGGCAGCAGCGGGCACCAGCCTCCCGCCTCAAAGTGGGCACCAGCCTTCTGCCTCAAAATGAGCAGCACCGGGCACCCGCCTCCTGCCTCAAAGTTGGCAACAGTGGGCACCAGTCTCCAGGCTCAAAATGAGCATATGTGGCACCAGTCTCAAAGTGCTCAGCAGCGGGCACCAGCGTCCAGCCTCAAAGTGGGCACCAGCCTCAAAGTGGGCAGCAGCGGGCACCAGCCTCCAGACTCAAAGTGGGCACCAGCCTCCTGCCTCAAACTGGGCAGCAGTGGACACCAGGCACCAGCCTAAAAATGGGCAGCAGCTGGCACCAGCCTCAAATCTCAAAGTGGGCGGCATCGGGCAACAATCTCCAGCCTCAAAGTGGGCATCAGTGGGCACCAGCCACGACGCTCAAAGTGGGCAGCAGCGGGCACCAGCCTCCAGGCTCAAAATGGGCTTCAGCCTCCTGCTTGGAAGTGGATAGCAGCGGGTACCAGCCTCCTGCCTCAAAGTGGGCAGCAGCGGGCACCAGCCAGCATCCTCAAAGTGGGCAGCAGCGGGCACCAGCTTTTAGGCTCAAAGTGGGCAGCAGCAGGCATCAGCCTCCAGGCCCAAATTGGGCAGTAGCGGGGACCAGCCTCCTGCCTCAAAGTGGGCAGCAGTGGGCACCAGCCACCAGCCTCAAAGTGGGCAGCAGCGGAAACCAGCCTTTAGGCTCAAAGTGGGCAGCAAAGGGCACCAGCCTCCAGCCTCAATGTGGGCAGCAGCGGGCACCAAACTCCTGCCTCAAAGTGGGCAGCAGCGGGCACCAGCCTCAAAGTGGGTAGCAGCGGGAACCAGCCTCCAGCCTCAAAGTGGGCAGTAGCAGGCTCCAGCCTCCTTCCACAAAGTGGGTAGCAGTGGGCACCAGCCTCCTCCCTCAAAGTTGGCATCAGTGGGCACCAGCCTCAAAGTGGGCCGCAGATGGCACCAGTCTCAAGCCTCAAAGTTGGCACCAGCCTCTTGCCTCAAAGTGGGCAGCAGCAGGCACCAGTCTCCTGCCTTAAAGTGGGCAGGAGCTGGCACCAGCCTTCGGTCTCAACGTGGGCAGCAGCGGGCATCAGTCTCCAGCCTCAAAGTGGGTATGACTGGGCACCAGCCACAAAGTGGGCACCAGCCTCCAACCTCAAAGTGGGCAGCAGCGGGCACCAGCCTTAAGGCTCAAATTGGGCAGCAGTGGGCACCAGCCACCAGCCTCAAAGGTGGCAGCAGCGGGCACCAGCCTTTAGGCTCAAATTAAGCAGCAGCGGACACCAGCCTCCAGTCTCAATGTGGGCAGCAGCGGGCACCAGACTCCTGCCTCAAAGTGGGCAGCGCCCAGCCTCAACCAGGTATCAACCAGCCTCCAGCCTGAAAGTGGGCAGCAGCGGGCACCAGCCTCCAGCCTCAATGTGGCCAGCAGCGGGCACCAGCCTCCAGCCTCAAAGTGGGCAGCAGCGAAAACCAGCCTCCAGCCTCAAAGTGGACAGCAGCGGGCACCAGCCTCCAGTCTCAAAGTGGGCACTAGCCTCCAGCCTCAATGTGGGCAGCAGTGGGCACCAGCCTCCAAGTGGGTACCAGCCTCCTGCCTCAAAGTGGGCACCAGTGGGCACCAGCCTCAAAGTGGGCAGCAGCGGGCACCAGCTTCCAGCCTCAAAGTGGGCAGCAGCGGGCACCAGCCTCCAGCCTCAAAGTGGGTACCAGCCTCCAGCCTCATAGTGGGTATCAGTGGGCACCAGCCTCAAAGTGGGCGGCAGCGGGCACCAGCCTCCTGCCTCAAAGTGGGCAACAGCGGGCACCAGCCACCAGCCTCAAAGTGGGCAGCAGCGGGCACCAGCCTTTAGGCTCAAAGTTGGCAGCAGCGGCCACCAGCCTCCAGGCTCAAAGTGGGCAGCAGGGGGCAACAGCCTCCATCCTCAAAGTGGGTACCAGCCTCCAGCCTCAAACTGGGCATCAGTGGGCACCAGCCTCAGAGTCTGCAGCAACGGGCACCAGCCTCCTGCCTCAAAGTGGGCAACAGCGGGAACCAGCCACCAGCCTCAAAGTGGGCAGCAGCGGGCACCAGCCTTTAGGCTCAAAGTTGGCAGCAACGGGCACCAGCCTCCTGGCTCAAAGTGGGCAGCAGCGGGCACCAGCCTCTAGTCACCAAGTGGGCAAAGTGGGCACAAGTCTGCAGCCTCAATGTGGGCATCAGTGGGCACCAGTCTCAAAGTGAGCAGCAGCGGGCGCAAGCCACTAGCCTCAAAGTGGGCAGCAGCAGGCACTAGCCTCTAGCTTCAAAGTGGGCAGCAGCGGGCACTAGTCTCCCACCTCAAAGTGGTCACCAGCCTCCTGCCTCAAAGTGGGCAGCACCGGGCATCAGTCTCCAAGCTCAAAATGAGCACCAGTGGGCACCAGCTTCAAAGTGGGCAGCAGCGGGCACCAGCCTCCAGCCTCAAAGTGATCACCAGCCTCCTGCCTCAAAGTGGGCAGCACCGGGCACCAGTCTCCAGGCTCAAATTGAGCATCAGTGGGCACCAGCCTCAAAGTGGGCAGCAGCGAGCACCAGCCTCCTACCCCAGAGTCGGCAGCAGCGGGCACCAGCCTTTAGGTTCAAAGTGGGCAGCAGCGGGCATGAGCCTCCAGGCTCAAAGTTGGCAGCAGCGGGCACCAGCTTCGTGCCTCAAAGTGGGCAGCCGTGGGCACCAGCCACCAGCTTCATATTGGGTAGCAGCGGGCACCAGCCTTTAGGCTAAAAGTGAGCAGCAGCGGGCACCGGCCTCCAGCCTAAATGTGGGCAGCAGCGGGTACCACACTCCTGCCTCCAAGTGGGCAGCGTCCAGCCTCAACCAGGTATCAACCAGCCTCCAGCCTGAAAGTGGGCAGCAGCGGGCACCAGCCTCCAGCCTCAATGTGGCCAGCAGCGGGCACCAGCCTCTAGCCTCAAAGTGGGCTGCAGCGGGAACCAGCCTCCAGCCTCAAAGTGGACCGCAGCGGGCACCAGCCCTCAGCCTCAAAGTGTTCAGCAGCGGGCACCAGCCTCCAGCCTCACTGTGGGCATCAGATGGCAATAGCTTCAATGTGGGCAGCAGCGGGCACCAACCTACAGCCTCAAAGTGGGAACCAGCCTCCAGCCTCAAAGTGGGCAGCAGCGGGCACCAGCCTCCAGCCTCAAAGTGGACACCAGCGGGCACTAGCCTCCAGCCTCAAAGTGGGCAGCAGCGGGCACCAGCCTCCATCCTCAAAGTTGGTAGCAGCGGGTACCAGCCTCTAACCTCAAAATTGGCACCAGTCTACTGCCTCAGAGATGGCAGCAGCGGGCACCAGCCTCCAGTCTCAAAGTGGGCACAGCAAGCACCAGTCTGTTGCCTCAAAGTGGGCATCAGTGGGCAGCAGCGGGCACCAGATACTAGCCTCAAAGTGGACAGCAGCGGGCACCAGCCTGAAGCCTCAAAGTGGGCACCAGCCTCCTGCCTCAAAGTGGGCAGCAGCGGGCACCAGCCTCCAGTCTCAAAGGGGGCAGCAGCGGGCACAAGTCTCATGCCTCATAGTGGGCACCTGCCTCCTGCCTCAAAGTGGGCAGCAGCGAGCACCAGTCTCCAGCCTCAATGTGGGCAGCTGCGGGCACCAGCCTCTTACCTCAAAGTGGGCAGCAGCGGGCACCAGTCTCCTGGCTCAAAATGAGCATCAGTGGGCACCAGCCTCAAGGTCGGCAGCAGTGGGCACCAGCCTCAAAGTTGGCACCAGCCTCAAAGTGGGAAGCAGCGGACACCAGCCTCCAAGTGGGCACCAGCCCCCTGCCTCAAAGTGGGCAACAGTTGGCACAGCCCCCAGCCTCAAAAGGGGGCAGCAGCGCGCACCAGCCTCAAGTCTCAAAGAGGGGGCAGCGGGCACCAGTCTCTAGCCTCAAAATGGGCATCAGTGGGCACCAGCCTCAAAGTGGGCAGTAGTGGGTACCAACCTCCTGCCTCAAAGTGGGCATCAGTCTCCTGCTTCAAAGTGGGCAGCAGCGGGCATCAACCTCCTGCCTCAAAGTGGGGAGCAGCGGCCACCAGCCTCCAGGCTTAAAGTAGGCAGCAGCGGGCACCAGCCTCCAGATTCAAAGCGGGCAGCAGCGGGTACCAGCCTCCAGACTCAAAGTGGGCAGCAGCCTCCTGCCTCAAAGTGGGCAGCAGCGGCAGTCACCAGCCTCACTGTGGGAAGCAGCTGGCACCAGCCTCTAGCTTCAATGTGGGCAGCAGCGGACAGCAGCCTCCTGCCTCAAAGTGGGCAGCTGCGGGCACCAGCCTCAAAGTGGGTAGCAGCGGGCACCAGCCCCATTCTGGGCAGCAGCAGGCACCATGCAGCCACCAGTTTCAATGTGGGTAGCAGCGTGCACCAGCCTCCAGCCTCAAAGAGGGCAGCAGCAGGAACCAGCTTCCAGCCTCAAAGTGGGCAGCAGCGGGCTCCAGCCTCATTGTGGGCTGCAGCGGACAGCAGTGGGAACCAGCCTCCAGCCTCAAAGAGGGCAGCAGCGGGAACCAGCCTCCAGCCTCAAAGAGGGCAGCAGCGGGCAGCAGCCTCCCGCCGCAATGTGGGCAGCAACGGGCACCAGCCTTCTGCCTCAATGTGGGCAGCAACGGGCACCAACCTTCTGCCTCAAAGTGGGCATCAGTGAGCACCAGCATCAAAATGCGCAGCAGCCGGCACCAGTCGCCACCCTCAAAGTGGGCAGCAGCCTCCAGCCTCAAAGTGCCTCAAAGTGGGCACCAGTCTCCTGCCTCAAAGTGGGCAGCAGCAGGCACCAGTCTCCTGCCTCAAAGTGGGCAGCAGCGGGCACCAGCCACCAGCCTCAAAGAGGGCAGCAGCGCAAACCAGCATTTAGGCTCAAAGTGGGCAGCAGAGTGCACCAGCCTCCAGCCTCAATGTGGGCAAAAGCGGGCACCAAACTCCTGCCTCAAAATGGGCAGCAGCGGGCACCAGCCTCCTGGCTGAAAGTGGGCAGCAGCGGGCACCATCCTCCAGCCTCAAAGTGGGCAGCAGCCTCCTGCCTCAAAGTGGGCAGCAGCGGGCACCAGCCTCACTGTGGGAAGCAGCGTTCACCAGCCTTTAGCCTCAATGTGGGCAGCAGGGGGTACCAGCCTCCTGCCTCAAAATGGGCTGCTGCGGGCAAGAGCCTCAAAGTGGGTAGCAGCGGGCACCAGCCTCACTGTGGTCAGCAGCAGGCACTATGCAGCCTCCAGCCTCAATGTGAGGCAACAGCGGGCACCAGCCTCCAGCCTCAAAGTGGGCAGAAGCGGGCATAAGCCTGTAAGTGGGTAGCAGCGGGCACCAGCCTCCAGCCTCAAAGTGGGCAGAAGCGGGCATAAGCCTGTAAGTGGGTAGCAGCGGGCACCAGCCTCACTGTGGGCAGCAGTGGGCACCAGCCTCCTGCCTCAAAGTGGGCAGCAGCGGGCACCAGCCTCAAAGTGGGTAGAAGCGGGCACCAGCCTTACTGTGGGCAGCAGCAGGCACCGCCTCCAGCCTCAATGTGGGCAGCAGCGGTCACCAGCCTCCAGCCTCAAAGTGGGCAGCAGCGGGCACCCGCCTCAAGCCTCAATATGGGCAGCAGCAGGCACCAGCCACCAGCCTCAATGTGGGCCGCAGCGGGCACCTGACTCAAAGTGAGCAGCACCGGGCACCAGCCTCCTGCCTCAAAGTGGGCATAAGTGAGCACCAGCTTCAAAGTGGGCAGCAGCCGGCACCAGTCTCCAACATCAAACTCTGCAGCAGCGGGCAGCAGCCTCCAGCCTCAAAGTGGGGAGCAGCGGGCACCAGCCTCAAATTGGGTGGCAGCGGGCACCAGCCTCACTGTGGGCAGCAGCAGGCACCAGCCTCCAGCCTCACTCTGGGCAGCAGTGGGCACCAGCCTCCAGCCTCAATGTAGGCAGCAGCGGGCACCAGCCTCCAGCCTCAAAGTGGGCAGCAGCGGGAACAAGCCTCAAGTGTCAAAGTGGGCAGCAGGGAGGCACCAGTCTCCAGCCTCAAAGTGGGCACCAGCCTCCAGGCTCAAATATGTCAGCAGCGGGCATCAGCCTCTTGCTTCAAAGTGGGGAGCAACGGGCACCAGCCTCAAATTGGGTAGCAGCGGGCACCAGCCTCATTGTGGGCAGTAGCAGGCACCAGCCTCCAGCCTCACCGTGTGCAGCAGTGAGCACCAGCCTAAAGCCTCAATGTGGGCAGCAGCGGGCACCAGCCTCAAAGTGGGCAGCAGCGGGAACCAGCCTCAAGTCTCTAAGTGGGCGGCAGCGGGCACCAGTCTCCAGCCTCAAAGTGGGCACCAGCCTCAAAGGTGGCGGTAGCGAGCACCAGCCTCCTGTCTTAAAGTCGGCAGCAGCAGGCACCAGCCACCAGCCTCAAAGTGGGCAGCAGCGGGCAACAACCTCCTGCCTCAAATTGGGCATCAGTTTCCTGCTTCAAAGTGGGCAGCAGCAGGAACCAGCCTCCTGCCTCAAAGTGAGCAACGGTGGGCACCAGTTTCCTGTCTCAAAGTAGGCAGCAGCAGGCACCAACCTCCAGTCTCAAAGTGGGCACAGCGGGCACCAGTGTGTAGCCTCAAAGTGAGCATCAGTGGGCACCAGCCTCAAAGTAAGCAGCAGCGGGCACCAGCTACTTGCCTCAACGAGGGTAGTAGCGGTCACCAGCCTCCAGTCTCAAAGTGGGCACAAGCCTCCTGCCTCAAAGTGAGCAGCAGCAGGCACCAGTATCCAGGCTCAAAATGAGCATCAGTGGGCACCAGCCTCGAAGTGGGCAGCAGCGGGCACCAGCCTCCAGCCTCAAAGTGGGCACCAGCCTCCAGCCTCAAAGTGGGCAGCAGCGGACACCAGCCACCAGCCTCAAAGTGGGCAGCAGCTGGCACCAGCCTCAAGTCTCAAAGTGAGCGGCAGCGGGCACCAGTTTCCAGCCTCAAAGTGGGCATCAGTGGGCAGCTGCCTCAAAGTGGGCAGCAGCGAGCACTAGCCTCGACGCTCAAAGTGGGCAGCAGCCTCCTGCCTCAAAGTGGGCAGCAGTGGGCACCAGTCTCCAGGCTCAAAATGAGCATCAGTGGGCACCAGTCTCAAAGTGGTCAGCAGCGGGCACCACCGTCAAAGCGGTGCTTCAAAGCGGGCACCTGCCTCAAAGTGGGCATTAGCGCGCACCAGCCTCCAGCCTCAAAGTGGGCACCAGCCTCCTGCCTCAAAGTGGGCAGCAGCAGACACCAGCCACCAGTCTCAAAGTGGGCAGCTGCGGGCACTAGTCTCCAGCCTCAAAGAGGCACCAGCCTCCTGCCTCAAAGTGGGCAACAGTTTGCACCAGTCTCCAGGCTCAAAATGAGCATCAGTGTGCACCAGTCTCAAAGTGGGTAGCAGCGGCCACCAGCCTCCAGCCTCAAAGTAGGCACCAACCTCCTGCCTCAAAGTGGGCAGCAGCGGACACCAGCCACCAGTCTCAAAGTGGGTGGCAACGCGCACGCCAGCCTCCAGCCTCAAAGTGGGCAACAGTTTGCACCAGTCTCCAGGCTCAAAATGACCGTCAGTGGGCACCAGCCTCAAAGTGGGCAGCAGCGGGCACCAGCCTCAAAGTGGGCACCAGCCTCCTGCCTCAAAGTGGGCAACAGCGGGAACCAGTCTCCAGCCTTAAAGTGGGCACCAGTCTCAAAGTGGGCAGACTCGAGCACCAGCCTCCACGCTCAGAGTGGGCAGCAGCGGGCACCAGCCTCCAAACTCAAAGTGGGCAGCAGCGGCCAGCAGCCTTCTGCCTCAAAGTGGGTATCAGCCTCCTGCTTGAGAGTGGGCAGCAGCGGGTACCAGCCTCCTGCCTCAAAGTGGGCAGCAGCGGGCACCAGCCACCAGCCTCAAAGTGGTCAGCAGCGGGCACCAGCCTTTAGGCTCAAATTGGGCAGCAGCAGGGACCAGCCTCCAGGCTCAAAGTGGGAAGGAGCGGGCACCAGCCTCCTGCCTCAATGTGAGCAGCAGCGGACACAAGCCTTTAGGCTCAAAATGGGCAGCAGAGGGCACCAGCCTTTAGGCTCAAAGTGGGCAGCAGCAGGGACCAACCTCCAGGCTCAAAGTGGGAAGCAGCGGGCACCAGCCTGCAGCCTCAATGTGGGCAGCAGCGGGCACCAAACTCCTGCCTCAAAGTGGGCAGCAGCGGGCACCAGCCTCCAGCTTCAAAGTGGGCAGCAGCCTCCTGAGTCAAAGGGGCAGCAGCGGGCACCAGCCTCACTGTGGGAAGCAGCGGGCACCCACCTCTAGCCTCAGTGTGGGCAGCAGCGGGCACCAGCCTCCTGCCTCAAAGTGGGCAGCAGGAGGAACCAGCCTGAAAGTGGTTAGCAGCGGGCACCAGCCTCACTGTGGGCAGCAGTGGGCACCAACTTCCAGCCCCAATGAGGGCAGTAGCAGGCACCAGCCTCCAGCCTCAAAGTGGGCAGCATCGGGCTCCAGCCTCAATGTGGGCAGCAGTGGGCACCAACCTCCAGCCCCAATGTGGGCAGTAGCAGGCACCAGCCTCCAGCCCCAAAGTGGGCAGCATCGGGCTCCAGCCTCAATGTGGGAAGCAGCGGGCACCAGACTCCATCCCCAATGTGGGCAGCAGCAGGCACCAGCCTACAGCCTCAATGTGGGCATCAGTGAGCACCAGCTTCAAAGTAGGCAGCAGCCGGCACCAGTCTCCAACCTAAAAGTGGGAAGCAGTGGGCAGAAGCCTCCAGCATCAAAGTGGGCAGCAGCGGGCACCAGCCTCCTTCCTCAAAGTGGGCATTAGTGGGCATCAGTGGGCACTAGCTTCAAAGTGGGCAGCAGCGAGCACCAGCCTCCAGCCTCAAAGTGGGCACAAGCCTCCTGCATCAAAGTTGGTAGCTGTGGGCACCAGTCTCCTGCCTCAAAGTGGGCAGCAGCGGGCACCAGCCTACAGTCTCAAAGTGGGCAGAAGCGGGCACCATTCTCCAGCCTCAAAGTGGGCATCAGTGGGCACCAGCCTCAAAGTGGGCATGAGGCCTCCAACCTCAAAGTGGGCTGCAGCGGGCACCCGCCTCTAGCCTCAATATGGGCAGCAGTAGGCACCAGCCACCAGCCTCAATGTGGGCCGCAGCGGGCACCTGACTCAAAGTGAGCAGCAACGGGCACCAGCCTCCTGCCTCAAAGTGGGCATAAGTGAGCACCAGCTTCAAAGTGGGCAGCAGCCGGCACCAGTCTCCAACATCAAACTCGGCAAGCAGCGGGCAGCAGCCTCCAGCCTCAAAGTGGGGAGCAACGGGGACCAGCCTCAAATCGGGTGGCAGCGGGCACCAGCCTCACTGTGGGCAGCAGCGGGCACCAGCCTCCAGCCTCACTCTGGGCAGCAGTGGGCACCAGCCTCCAGCCTCAATGTAGGCAGCAGCGGGCACCAGCCTCCAGCCTCAAAGTGGGCAGCAGCGGGAACCAGCCTCAAGTCTCAAAGTGGGCAGCAGGGGGGCGCCAGTCTCCAGCCTCAAAGTGGGCACCAGCCTCCAGGCTCAAAGGTGTCATTAGCGGGCATCAGCCTCTTGCTTCAAAGTGGGCAGCACCGGGCACCAGCCTCCTGCCTCAAAGTGGGGAGCAATGAGCACCAGCCTCAAATTGGGTAGCAGCGGGCACCAGCTTCACTGTGGGCAGCAGCAGGCACCAGCCTCCAGCCTCACCGTGTGCAGCAGTGAACACCAGTCTCCAGCTTGAATGTGGGCAGCAGTGGGCACCAGCCTCAAAGTGGGCGGCAGCGGGAACCAGCCTCAAGTCTCTAAGTGGGCGGCAGCGGGCACCAGTCTCCAGCCTCAAAGTGGGCACCAGCCTCAAAGTGGGCGATAGCGAGCACCAGCTTCCTGTCTTAAAGTCGGCAGCAGCAGGCACCAGCCACCAGCCTCAAAGTGGGCAGCAGCGGGCAACAACCTCCTGCCTCATATTGGGCATCAGCCTCCTGCTTCAAAGTGGGCAGCAGCAGGCACCAGCCTCCTGCCTCAAAGTGAGCAACGGTGGGCACCAGTTTCCTGCCTCAAAGTAGGCAGCAGCAGGCACCAACCTCCAGTCTCAAAGTGGGCACAGCGGGCACCAGTGTGAAGCCTCAAAGTGGGCATCAGTGGGCACCAGCCTCAAAGTGGGCAGCAGCGGGCACCAGCCTCCAGCCTCAAAGTGGGCACCAGCCGCCTGCCTCAAAGTGAGCAGCAGCAGACACCAGCCACCAGCCTCAAAGTGGGCAGCAGCTGGCACCAGCCTCTTGCCTCAAAGTGAGCAGCAGTAGGCACCAGTATCCAGGCTCAAAATGAGCATCAGTGGGCACCAGCCTCAAAGTGGGCAGCAGCGGGCACCAGCCTCCAGCCTCAAAGTGGGCACCAGCCTCCTGCCTCAAAGTGGGCAGCAGCGGACACCAGCCACCAGCCTCAAAGTGGGCAGCAGCTGGCACCAGCCTCAAGTCTCAAAGTGAGCGACAGCGGGCACCAGTTTCCAGCCTCAAAGTGGGGAGCAACGGGGACCAGCCTCAAATTGGGTGGCAGCGGGCACCAGCCTCACTGTGGGCAGCAGCGGGCACCAGCCTCCAGCCTCACTCTGGGCAGCAGTGGGCACCAGCCTCCAGCCTCAAAGTGGGCAGCAGTGGGCACCAGCCTCCAGCCTCAAAGTGGGCACCAGCCTCCTGCCTCAAAGTGGGCAGCAGCGGACACCAGCCACCAGCCTCAAAGTGGGCAGCAGCTGGCACCAGCCTCAAGTCTCAAAGTGAGCGGCAGCGGGCACCAGTTTCCAGCCTCAAAGTGGGCATCAGTGGGCAGCAGCCTCAAAGTGGGCAGCAGCGAGCACTAGCCTCGACGCTCAAAGTGGGCAGCAGCCTCCTGCCTCAAGGTGGGCAGCAGTGGGCACCAGTCTCCAGGCTCAAAATGAGCATCAGTGGGCACCAGTCTCAAAGTGATCAGCAGCGGGCACCACCGTCAAAGCGGTGCTTCAAAGCGGGCACCTGCCTCAAAGTGGGCATTAGCGCGCACCAGCCTCCAGCCTCAAAGTGGGCACCAGCCTCCTGCCTCAAAGTGGGCAGCAGCGGACACCAGCCACCAGTCTCAAAGTGGGCAGCTGCGGGCACTAGTCTCCAGCCTCAAAGTGGGACCAGCCTCCTGCCTCAAAGTGGGCAACAGTTTGCACCAGTCTCCAGTCTCAAAATGAGCATCAGTGGGCACCAGTCTCAAAGTGGGCAGCAGCGGCCACCAGCCTCAAAGTAGGCACCAACCTCCACGCTCAGAGTGGGCAGCAGCGGGCACCAGCCTAAAAACTCAAAGTGGGCAGCAGCTGCCAGCAGCCTTCTGCCTCAAAGTGGGTATAAGCCTCCTGTTTGAGAGTAGGCAGCAGCGGGTACCAGCCTCCTGCCTCAAAGTGGGCAGCAGCGGGCACCAACCACCAGCCTCAAAGTGGGCAGCAGCGGGCACCAACCACCAGCCTCAAAGTGGGCCGCAGCGGGCACCAGCCTCCTTCCTCAAAGTGGGCATCAGTGGGCACCAGCTTCAAAGTGGGCAGCAGCGAGCACCAGCCTCCAGCCTCAAAGTGGGCACAGCCTCCTGCATCAAAGTTGGTAGCAGTGGGCACCTGTCTCCTGCCTCAAAATGGGCAGCAGCGGGCACGAGCCTCCAGTCTCAAAGTGGGCAGCAGCGGGCACCATTCTCCAGCCTCAAAGTGGGCATCAGTGGGCACCAGTCTCAAAGTGGGCATGAGGCCTCTGACCTCAAAGTGGGCTGCAGCGGGCACCCGCCTCTAGCCTCAATATGGGCAGCAGCAGGCACCACCCTCCAGCCTCAATGTGGGCAACAGCAGGCACCAGCCTCCTGCCTCAAAGTGGGCATAAGTGAGCACCAGCTTCAAAGTGGGGAGCAACGGGCACCAGCCTCAAATTGGGTATCAGCGGGCACCAGCCTCACTGTGGCCAGCAGCGGGCACCAGCCTAAAGCCTCACTCTAGGCAGCAGTGGGCACCAGCCTCCAGCCTCAATGTAGGCAGCAGCGGGCACCAGCCTCAAGTCTCAAAGTGGGCAGCAGGGGGGCACCAGTCTCCAGCCTCAAAGTGGGCACAAGCCTCCAGGCTCAAAGGTGTCAACAGCTGTCACCAGTCTCCTGCCTCAAAGTTGGGAGCAACGGGCACCAGCCTCAAATTGGGTAGCAGCGGGCACCAGCCTCACCTTGTGCAGCAGTGAGCACCAGCCTCCAGACTCAATGTGGGCAGCAGCGGGCACCAGCCTCAAAGTGGGCAGCAGCGGGAACCAGCCTCAATTCTCTAAGTGGGCGGCAGCGGGCAGCAGTCTCCAGCCTCAAAGTGGGCAGCAGCGGGCAACAACCTCCTGCCTCAAATTGGGCATCAGCCTCCTGCCTCAAAGTGGGCAGCAGTTTGAACCAGTCTCCCGTCGCAAAATGAGCATCAGTGGGCACCAGCCTCAAAGTGGGCAGCAGCGGGCACCAGCCTCCAGCCTCAAAGTAGGCACCAGCCTCCTGCCTCAAAGTAGGCACCAGCCTTCTGCCTCAAAGTGGGCAGCAGCGGACACCAGGCACCAGCCTCAAAGTGGGCAGCAGCTGGCACCAGCCTCAAGTCCTAAAGTGGGCGGCAACGCGCACGCCAGCCTGCAGCCTCAAAGTGGGCACCAGCCTCCTGCCTCAAAGTGGGCAGCAGCGGACACCAGCCACCAGTCTCAAAGTGGGCAGCTGCGGACACAAGTCTCCAGCCTCAAAGTCGGCACCAGCCTCCTGCCTCAAAGTGGGCAGCAGTTTGCACCAGTCTCCAGGCTCAAAAAGAGCATCAGTGGGCACCAGCCTCAAAGTGGGCAGCAGCGGGCACCAGCAACCAGTCTCAAAGTGGGCAGCTGCGGGCACAAGTCTCTAGCCTCAAAGTGGGCACCAGCCTCCTGCCTCAAAGTGGGCAGCAGCGGACACCAGCCACCAGTCTCAAAGTGGGCAGCTGTGGGCACAAGTCTCCAGCCTCAGAGTGGGCACCAGCCTCCTGCCTCAAAGTGGGCAGCAGCGGACACCAGCCACCAGTCTCAAAGTGGGCAGCTGCGGGCACAAGTCTCTAGCCTCAAAGTGGGCACCAGCCTCCCGCCTCAAATTGGGCAGCAGCGCGAACCAGCTTCCAGTCTCAAAGTGGGCCACATCGGGCACCAGTCTCCAGCTTCAAAGTGGGCACCAGTCTCAAAGTGGGCAGATACGAGCACCAGCCTCCACGCTCAATGTGGGCAGCAGCGGGCACCAGCCTCCAAACTCAAAGTGGGCACCAGCCTCCAGGCTCAAAGGTGTCAACAGCTGTCACCAGTCTCCTGCCTCAAAGTGGGGAGCAACGGGCACCAGCCTCAAATTGGGTAGCAGCGGCCAGTGCAGCGGCCAGCAGCCTTCTGCCTCAAAGTGGGTATCAGCCTCCTGTTTGAGAGTGGGCAGCAGCGGGTACCAGCCTCCTGCCTCAAAGTGGGCAGCAGCGGGCACCAACCACCAGCCTCAAAGTGGTCAGCAGCGGGCACCAGCCCTTAGGCTCAAAGTGGGCAGCAGCAGGCACCAGCCTCCAGGCTCAAAATGGGCAGCAGAGGGCACCAGCCTCCAGCCCCAATGTGGGCAGCAGCGGGCACAAAACTCCTGCCTCAAAGAGGGCAGCAGCGGGCACCAGCCTCCAGTCTGAAAGTGGGCAGCAGCGGGCACCAGCCTCCAGTCTCAAAGTGGGCAGCAGCCTCCTGAGTCAAAGTGGGCAGCAGCGGGCACCAGCCTCACTGTGGGAAGCAGCGGGCACCCACCTCTAGCCTCAGTGTGGGCAGCAGCGGGCACCAGCCTCCTGCCTCAAAGTGGGCAGTAGGAAGCACCAGCCTGAAAGTGGGTAGCAGCGGGCACCAGCCTCACTGTGGGCAGCAGTGGGCACCAACCTCCAGCCCGAATGTGGGCAGTAGCAGGCACAAGCCTCCAGCCTCAAAGTGGGCAGAAGCGGGCACCAGCCTCCAGCCTCAAAGTGGGCAGCAGCGGGCACCAGCCTCTAGCCTCAATGTGGGCAGCAGCGGGCACCAGACTCCAGCCTCAATGTGGGCAGCAGCAGGCACCAGCCTCCAGCCTCAATGTGGGCCGCAGCTGGCACCAGCCTCCAGCCTCAAAGTGGGCAGCAGCGGGCACCAGCCTCTAGCCTCAATGTGGGCAGCAGCGGGCACCAGACTCCAGCCTCAATGTGGGCAGCAGCAGGCACCAGCCTCCAGCCTCAATGTGGGCCGCAGCTGGCACCAGCCTCCAGCCTCAATGTGCGCAGCAGCGGGTACCAGACTCCTGCTTTAAAGTGGGCAGCAGCGGGGACCAGCCTCGAGCTCAAAGTGGCTAGCAGTGGGTTCCAGCCTCCAGCCTCAAAGTGGGCAGCAGCCTCCTGCCTCAATGTGTGCAGCAGCGGGCACCAGCCTCTTGCCTCCGAGTGGTCAGCAGCGGGCATAATTCTCAAAGTGGGTAGAAGCGGGAACCAGCCTCACTGTGGGCAGCAGTGGGTTGCTGCCCACCATAGTCATAACTCACCAGCTACAGCCACATTAGTCATCCACCCACCAGCCACAGTGGTTAACCACCCACCAGCCACATTGGTCAACCACCCACCAGCCACAGCCACAGTGGTCAACCACCCACCAGTCACAGTCACAGTGGTCAACCACCCACCAGCAGCAGCCACAATGGAACCACCCTCCAATCACAGTCACAGTGGTCAACCACCCATACGGTCACAGTGGTCACCCACCCACCAGACACAGTGATCAACCACCCACCAGTTACAGTGGTCAACCACCCACCAGTCACAGTGGTCAACCACCCACCAGTTACCGTGGTCAACCACCCACCAGCCACAGCCACAGTAGTCAACCACCCACCAGCCACAGCCACAGTGGTCAACCACCCACCCGCCACAGTGGTCAACATTCCACCAGCCACAGCCACAGTGGTCAACCAGCCACCAGCCACAGCCACAGTAGCCAACCACCCACCAGCCACAGCCACAGTGGTCAACCAGCCACCAGCCACAGCCACAGTGGCCAACCACCCACCAGCTACAGCCACAGTGGTCAACTACCCACCAGCCACAGCCACAGTGATCAACCAGCCACCAGCCACAGTGGTCAATCACCCACCAGTCATAGTCACTGTGGTCAACCACCCACCAGTCAAAGTCACTGTGGTCAACCACCCAGCAGTCACAGTGGTCAACCAGCCACCAGCCACAGCCACAGTGGCCAACCACCCACCAGCTACAGCCACAGTGGTCAACTACCCACCAGCCACAGCCACAGTGATCAACCAGCCACCAGCCACAGTAGTCAACCATTCACCAGCCAAAGCCACAGTGGTCAATCACCCACCAGTCATAGTCACTGTGGTCAACCACCCACCAGTCATAGTCACTGTGGTCAACCACCCACCAGTCATAGTCACTGTGGTCAACCACCCAGCAGTCACAGTGGTCAACCACCCACCAGCTATAGCCACATTGGTCAACCACCACCCAGCCACAGTGGTCAACCACCCACCAGTCACAGTCAACATTGGTCAACCACCTACCAGTCACAGCTACAGTGGTCAACCACCCACCAGCTACAGTGGTCAACCACCCACCAGTCACAGCCACAGTGGTCAACCAGCCACCAGTCACAGCCACAGTGGTCAACCACCGATCAATCACAGTCACAGTGGTCACCCACCCACCAGTCACAGCCACAGTGGTCAACCACCCACCAGCCACAATGGTCAACTACCCACCAGCCACATTGGTCAACCACCCACCAGCCACATCCACAGTGGTCAACCACCCACCAGTCACAGTCACAGTGGTCAACCACCCACCAGCAGCAGCGAAAATGGTACCACCCTCCAGCCACAGTCACAGTGGTCAACCACCCACCGGTCACAGTGGTCAACCACCCACCAGCAGCAGCGAAAATGGTACCACCCTCCAGCCACAGTCACAGTGGTCAACCACCCACCGGTCACAGTGGTCAACCACCCACCAGTCACAGTTGTCAACCACCCACCAGTCACAGTGGTCAACCACCCAGCAGTTACAGTGGTCAACCACCCACCAGCCACAGCCACAGTGGTCAACCACCCACCAGCCACAGTGATCAACCACCCACCAGTCACAGCCACTGTGGTCAACCACCCACCACTCACAGCCACAGTGGTCAATAACTCACCAGCTACAGCCACATTAGTCATCCACCCACCAGCCACAGTGGTTAACCACCCACCAGCCACATTGGTCAACCACCCACCAGCCACAGCCACAGTGGTCAACCACCCATACGGTCACAGTGGTCACCCACCCACCAGACACAGTGATCAACCACCCACCAGTTACAGTGGTCAACCACCCACCAGTCACAGTGGTCAACCACCCACCAGTTACCGTGGTCAACCACCCACCAGCCACAGCCACAGTAGTCAACCACCCACCAGCCACAGTGCTCAACCACCCACCATCCACAGCCGCATTGGTCAACCACCCACCAGCCACAGTGGTCAACCACCCACCAGTCACAGTGGTCAACCACCCACCAGTTACCGTGGTCAACCATCCACCAGCCACAGCCACAGTGGTCAACCACCCACCCGCCACAGTGGTCAACATTCCACCAGCCACAGCCACAGTGGTCAACCAGCCACCAGCCACAGCCACAGTAGCCAACCACCCACCAGCCACAGCCACAGTGGTCAACCAGCCACCAGCCACAGCCACAGTGGCCAACCACCCACCAGCTACAGCCACAGTGGTCAACTACCCACCAGCCACAGCCACAGTGATCAACCAGCCACCAGCCACAGTAGTCAACCATTCACCAGCCAAAGCCACAGTGGTCAATCACCCACCAGTCATAGTCACTGTGGTCAACCACCCACCAGTCATAGTCACTGTGGTCAACCACCCACCAGTCATAGTCACTGTGGTCAACCACCCAGCAGTCACAGTGGTCAACCACCCACCAGCTATAGCCACATTGGTCAACCACCACCCAGCCACAGTGGTCAACCACCCACCAGCCACAGTCAACATTGGTCAACCACCTACCAGTCACAGCTACAGTGGTCAACCACCCACCAGCTACAGTGGTCAGCCACCCACCAGTCACAGCCACAGTGGTCAACCAGCCACCAGTCACAGCCACAGTGGTCAACCAGCCACCAGTCACAGCCACAGTGGTCAACCACCCACCAGCTACAATGGTTAACTACCCACCAGCCACATTGGTCAACCACCCCACCAGCCACATCCACAGTGGTCAACCACCCACCAGTCACAGTCACAGTGGTCAACCACCCACCAGCAGCAGCGAAAATGGTACCACCCTCCAGCCACAGTCACAGTGGTCAACCACCCACCGGTCACAGTGGTCAACCACCCACCAGTCACAGTTGTCAACCACCCACCAGTCACAGTGGTCAACCACCCAGCAGTTACAGTGGTCAACCACCCACCAGCCACAGCCACAGTGGTCAACCACCCACCAGCCACAGAGATCAACAACCCACCAGTCACAGCCACTGTGGTCAACCACCCACCAGTCACAGCCACAGTGGTCAATAACTCACCAGCTACAGCCACATTAGTCATCCACCCACCAGCCACAGTGGTTAACCACCCACCAGCCACATTGGTCATCCACCCACCAGCCACAGCCACAGTGGTCAACCACCCACCAGTCACAGTCACAGTGGTCAACCACCCACCAGCAGCAGCCACAATGGAACCACCCTCCAATCACAGATACAGTGGTCAACCACCCATACGGTCACAGTGGTCACCCACCCACCAGTCACAGTGGACAACCAACCACCAGTCACAGTGATCAACCACCCACCAGTTACAGTGGTCAACCACCCACCAGTCACAGTGGTCAACCACCCACCAGTTACCGTGGTCAACCACCCACCAGCCACAGCCACAGTAGTCAACCACCCACCAGCCACAGTGGTCAACATTCCACCAGCCACAGTGTTCAACCACCCACAAGCCACAGCCGCTGTGGTCAACCTCCCACCAGCCACAGTGGTCAACCACCCACCAGCCACAGTGGTCAACCACCCACCAGCCACAGTGGTCAACCACCCACCAGCCACAGTGGTCAACCACCCACCAGCCACAGTAGTCAACCACCCACCAGCCACAGTGTTCAACCACCCACCAGCCACAGTGGTCAATCACCCACCACTCACAGTCACAGTGGTCAACCACCCACTAGTCACAGTCACAGTGCCAAACCACCTACCAGTCATAGTCACTGTGGTCAAACACCCACCAAACATAGTCACTGTGGTCAACCACCCACCAGTTACAGTGGTCAACCACCCACCAGCTAAAGCCA